TTATTATTTATATGTATAATTTCATTATGATGTTTATTATATAATCAATCATATGTGTTATGTTATTATAACATATAATAAGTGATAAAATATAAATGAAAATGATATGAATATATGATATAGAATATAGAAAAAAACAAAAGAATAATAAGAATAAATGATAAATAAAAGGAGAAATGATAGTCAATGATATAATAATAAAATCAAAGTATAAAAGATAAAATTAATATTAATATAAAACAAAAGAGAATAAATATAAAATGAAAATAGATATAAATGATAATAATATAAAAATGATAAGAATATAAAAATGATAAAGATGAATAAACAAATAATAAAATACATTTAAATATAAAAGAATAACAAGAAGAAAATCTAAAGAATAATATAATAAAAATAATAAAATAAGAATAATATAATAATATAATATAATAATATAGATAATAAGAAGAATACAATGATATAAATAATATAAACAGAGAAATAAATATATAAAAATACGATAGATAAATAACATAATAATAAAAGAATAAAAGAGTATAAATAATTAATTATGATTCATCAAATCATCTATTTCATTAATATTTCATACAAAATGACTACAAGTGATCATAAAATATAAACATAAATATATACAGATTGTATATTTATCATATTTTTTATTTTTATTTTTTTATGAGCAAAATAATAAGTGGAAAAATCTATGGATGCAAATTTTTTTGCATCTTTTTTCATTTTTGTAAATTATTTAGATGCATTATTTCTTTGCTGATTTTCGTACCCATTTATCATTAATATTATTCTTACATTATTACGTTCTTCTTTATTTTATTATTCTGTTGTTTTATCTTCTATTATTTATATTGTTTATTTTTCATGTTATTATTCATTCTATTTCATTATGTTGTTATTTTCTATCATAATACAGTTAATATGTTAAATAAATATGTTAAAATTGTTATTATAATGAAATAAAATAAAAATAATAATACAATTAATAAGATGAATAAATAATAAACCATAATCTAAATGTGTTTATAACAATTTCTGTACAACACCTTTTAAAATACTAAATGATATGAAATGTTTTTTTATTTGGAATATGTTTTAAATATTATGTGATGTTCTTTGAATTTTATTCTTTATACAATCATTCAGTTACATAAATTAATGATAAAAATAACATATAATACAAACTAAATGAGAATGATGATGGAATAATCTATGAAATAAAGAAAGATAAATACAAAAAGAAATAAAAAGAATAAGAAAGAATGAAATAATAAATATTAATAAGAAAATAAATAAGAAATAAATAATAAGAAGTGATATGATAATGATAAAATAAGAAAGTGAATATGATAAAGAAAAAGAATAAAAAGAATAAATTAAATAACAATTGATTGAATAAAAACTTAAAAAATGATATAATATATCATAGAATAAATACTTCTAGAAAAGAAAGGATAATAAAAGAATAAAGAAGAATAAGAATAACTAAATGAAATGAACAATGCAAATAATGAAAGATAAATAAAAATGAAAATAATAAAATAAACAACTAAATAATGAATGAAATAATGTTATATTTATAATAACTAATAATAATATTAAATAAATATTAAATACAATTTTATTTATTATTTAATCGTTATAACCATTCGTTGTTTAATATTATGTTAATATTTATATTTATTATTCTATTCTTTATACATTTCTTCTTATTATTATGTTTATTTTTTATTATTTTATATTTTTATCATAAATATTTTAAATAATTTATTCAATTATATTTATTTCTATTCTTTACTTCTACTGTTGATATTCTCTTTTCTTGTTTTTTATATTAACAGATTTATCTTCTATGAGTTGTTTATTTTCTTTATTACTTTCTTCAACTTCCTTTTCAATTTATATCCCTTTTCATTGTAACATGTTTCGATTATGTGAATTCCATACACTCGGATCATGAACTCGAGGTAATAATTTATTTGGATAGTTGTTCATGATATTTCTCTGTGGTATATCATGTTGCTTTCTTAATGTTTCCTTAAGTAATAAATACAAAAAACAACTTCAAACTACTTTTAATTTCTTCATTCATTTGATCACCACATTAATCATTTGAATGTCCCTTTTATTTCATATTACTTTTCTATTTAGATTCTACTCTCTGAAATGGTCATCTCATCAGATGCTTTTCATTATTATCCTTTCACATTACTTTGTTTAATTTCCTAATTACATGTTTTTGTTTTCTTTTTATATTTCTTTATTCATCTCCTCTATCTGTTTGATAGTGTCTCTTAAGTTTCTCTTGCTTATTTCTTTCTATTTTATATTCCATGTTTTGTACTTCTTCTTACTTTCACTTCTTTTACTTACTAGCGTCTTCTTTCTTAATTAAGTCATTCATCTCTTACTTTATACTTAATGTATTCATATATGTATTATGATTTCTTGTTTGAAGTTCTGTTCTTTTTTTCTTTAAATATCTTCTTTCCTTTCTTATCAAATTTTATTTATAACAAAATTGTGTTTCTTGGGATTATTTCAGTCTTTTAATATTTTAAATTTGGTAAACAAAAATATGAAATGCCTACTACCAAAAATCTTTGAAAATTAGTTTGGTATATTCTAAAATTATCATAAACCATTGAACAAAATACTTATTCTTTTGTTTCTATTTCATCTTTCTTACTCTTTTATTAATTATTCCTATATTCTATTATTAATTTGTGTTTATCAAGAAGAATAAAAAAAGACCAAAATAAAATAATCAATTCAATCATTTTCAATTAAATTCTTTGATTGAACATAATAAAAATGTATAGTATTACTTTTATTTATTTTAGTACTTCATACTAACATATTAATATTCGAATATATTTATAATTATACTTTAATTATGTTTTGATTTCTTTTAATAAATACAAACTACCATTAAATATCAATAATAAACATTATACAAGAATTGTCATTTCCTACAATTTCTTATTTGAATTAACTCAATGAATAAATAACAAAGCAATTAATTAAGTGTTAATAGATTTTTCATATATTCTTCCTAGTTTAGCCGAGATTAATCCCTGAGTTATTTGTTTTTTAAAAAGAGTAATCTTTTTCTTTAACTTATCATTTATGTTTTTCTTGAAAATTGAGAAAATCACTTCTTTGCTTTATTTTTTCTTATTAATGTCTTCTCATCCTTCTTCTGCTTAATTCTTCTTTTTAACCTTTTGTTTATTTTCTGCCTTAATTTTAAACATTTTCTTTTTCCTTTTTTCTTTATTTTATGAATGAGAGAAAAGACTATTTCATTCCCATTATATTATTATGTTTAATTTTCTTTTAGTCTTACCCACACTTTAGTACTTCCTTATATTACACCATGTAATATTCTATCATAATATCTTGCTACACCCTTTGCAACTTTACCTAATACATTTCTAATTCAAATACACCGTCATAACCAGATAATAACTGGAAGTGTCGATGCTTGAATTTGTATTAATGTTTGTGTGTGTTTTAGACATGCCACTTTCGATTTTCGAAGAATAAATACATAATGAACAACAAAAAGATGATAAAAAAGAAAATAAAGAAACGACACATTTTTTTAATAATACACTATTTAGAAAAGCATTAAAATATTAATCTTACTCCTGATTATTTATACAAACTCAATTCTTCTTTTAATAGTTTTGTTGATGCTCAAAATTTAACAGATAAAATGAATTAATTAAATAAATGAGTGTGTTGATAAAAATTAATGAATTATCAAATAATTATATCAATTTACTCAAATTTAAAATAGTGTTGAAAAATGAATGGTTATTTGATGAAAAATGATATTAATGAAGTTTAGGAATTATTGTCACAGAAGATAATAAATATGTTGTTAATCAAGGAATTACTTCTGAACATAAAACTAATCATAAAATAGATGAAATAGAAAAGTACAGAATTGTAATGAAGAGTGAATGAAGAAGTTATAATTTAAACAATAAGAAAAGAAGAAATTGAAGAATGTTACAATGATAAATTGAACTAATTTAATAGTTTTGTTAATATTTTATTGTTTCAAATAAATGATAATTTGAATAAAAAGAAATAAAATAAACAATAATGAATAAATAGTTATAACATTCTTATACATTATTCAGTTGTATAATTTGAACATTATTCATAAATTAGAATATTAATACTTGTTAAATTTACATTATCATTGAAATATTCTACATTATTCATTTTTATTTTATTAAAATTATTATAATAAATAAACTCATATTCATACATTCTTTTTATTTATTAAAATAACATATGATTATTGTGTTTGTAAAAAACTATTCAGTATCATTTCAATTCTATAAAATGTATTTCTATTCTTCTTCTATTTCTTTTTATTTCTCTTTATTTTATTAAACTAAATTGTTATTTTAAATTATTCTTTCTTCAATTAGAGAATTATCATCATTATTCCAATTATCATAATGAATAGATTTATTCTCATGTCTCTTGTTCCATTGCTTGGATTTGGTGGATAAAGACAAACATCTTCAATACATTTATTGTTGATATAATCAAATTTATATCCTTCATCACAATATGCCAATACACATTTTGTACTCCATTCTCCATTATCTCCACATTCATATCCTCCATGTCCATGTTCGATATTAATTTCTTCATCACATTTTTCATCTCTTTTAACTAATCTTTTATTCTTTGGATTACATTTCGTTTTATATTTCTCTACTATTTTCTTTGTTTCTTCTTCAAATTCTTTTATCTTATCGTTTGAGAATTGATAAATATTCACTCTTTCATCTATAATATCTGGTAAAAATTCTCTTGGAATTGTTTCATCATATTCATAATTAAATCTGTATGTTTCTGAAAAAGTCAATTCCAAGTTATATCCATTTTGTTGTAAACTATTATTTGAATTTCTTGACGTAACATCAAAAATATCATAAACTGGTGATACTCCTACTTTTTATTCTTCATCTTTTCCATATGGATCACCATCAAATCCTACAAGAATAGCTCCTCCCCATTCTTTTAATCCTTTTGTTACAGATGAACATGCTGAATAACAAAATGAATCTGTATAAACTACTATTTCTGTTGGTTTTCTTGGATATCTTATTAATTTCAATTTTGGATAATCATCTAAACGCTGATTCAAAAAACGTCTCCAAGACACATCTACTGATGGTTGTGTAACTTTATGTTCAATATCTCCATATTTAATAATTCTTGGTTTTGTATACCATGATCCAATTTTTTCCGGAGTGCTCAAGGTTTTTCTTGGTTCACATGTTTCTGGTTCGTACGTAGTGTAACCACCGAAACCATCATTTTCTTTTTTTTTTAATTATATCTTCTGTAGTTCCTGATATTCTTGATGAATATATATAATCAAAATCATCATATGGTGATAATACTTTCTCAATTGTTTGTGCAAGTTGTACATAACCCTCTCCTTCATTTTGTGGGAATATTAATTGAATTGGATAATCATTTGAATCAAACTTATCAAGACATTCAGTTAATTTATTCAAAGAATAATCACTATAGCTATTAAAATTTTTTACAATTAATGTATTTACTTTGTTGCTTGTTGTTAAACAACATATTTCTTCATATCCAAAACATTTAGGTTCATATTCATCATTTTCTTGTTTTATTCTTTTTCTTTCATTTTCTTCTTCAGATTCTTCTATTCTTATTCCACTTCTTTTACTTCTTTCAAATGCTTCTTGGAATGTCTGCTCCCAACTATACTTCATGGCATATATCTTATAATTAACTGTTAGTCTTTCTCCATTTTCCCATATAATTGTTATTGGTGTATTTAAATATTCTTTTGTTAATGGTATTTCACCCAATAATCCATATGTTATTGCTGATTTTGCTTTTGTAAATTGTGCATGTGGACATTTTAGTCCTACATATTTCTTTCCAAATTTCCGAATAAAATTAAATGGATCTTCTCCATTTATTATTATAACTGGTACTTTCTGATTATTTATAATTTCTTTAGGTACATCAACCGAAATAGAATAAGGAAATTCATTTAGTGGATTTAAATACATTTTCTTATCATTATCTATATTTATTGTAAATGGAAGTAAATAAACAAAATCAAACGCTAAATTTGATGTATAACGATAATAATCTATACTAAAAGCTAAGTTAGGATCTCTTGTTGAAATAATAAGATTATTTATTTCTGAGTAAAACTCATACAGACTTGTTGTTTTTGTATTTATTTTATCTAATTCTGAATCAATATCCACTTTCTCATAATAATTATTTGAAAATGATGGTTGTGGTGGATTTTTTAATATGTCTTTAAATACATATGCATTTAAATAATATTTTAAATCATTAATAATATCAGTATTTTCTTTCTCTGTTGTTTTAATTGATTCAATACATTCAAATACACTATCAACTGTATCTATTTGATTCCAACCAAACATTGCTGGTTGATAGTCACCACACTGTTTTGATAAAGAAAGAGTAATAAATAGAAGTAATACAATATTCATATTTAATGATTATATCGTTCTAGTTTTATGTTTAAATATTCACTTATCCTTTCTTTCATTTACCCTATTTTATTATTTATTCATAACTTCTTCAATTTCTTTTTTCTTTTTTATTCTTTATATGTTTATTTTTATTTAAACATCACCCAACGTTTTTTTCATGTTTTTATTCTTATTTTTATTGAAACAACATTCGTTTGTGTCATATTTGTTTTTATTTTATCGTTATTTATTTTATTGTTTTTACCCTTATTTCCTTTTCTTTATTTTTCTTTATATTATTATTTTACCCCCTTTTTATTTGTTTGATTCTTTATATTTTCATTGTTTTATTTTTTTATCTTTGTCTTTATTTTTTGAAAATATTAATGATTTTCTTATTTCTTTTATATTTTATATTTTATTCTTCTTTACTCCATTTATTCTTATTTCATGCTCATTCGATGGTATTGTTAATTGCTTATAATTTGAATGACATTTTCATATTTATTTTACTCATTTGAATTCTTCATCAGTGATTATGATTAGAAAAAATCAATATGAAAATAATAAACAACAATGAAAGAAATGAAGATGAAATAAATGACAATAAATATGAAATAATAATCAAATGAATAAATACATGAAATATAAAACAATGATGAAATGGTTAATATTTAATATTTCATTTTATTGTGAATTATT